AGTCCTGGGCCGAGACTGAGCCACCAATGGCAAAAGAGTAGACGCCGGGGGGCCAAAGGGGCGGCGCCCGGGGCCAAAGGGGCGGGCCAAATGGTCGACACAGCCGATGTGGCCACGGGGCAAACGGGCAGCGCCTGCGACCAAACAGGCGGCGTGGCAGGCCAAAGGGGCAGTGCCTGTGACCAAAGATGTGGTACAGGGGGACAAAGGGGCCGTGCTGGCAGCCAAAGGGGTGGCACCTGAAGGAGGCCGCAAACCAGTAAAGATTAAACAATATCCAATCAAACCAGAAGTTAGACAGGTCCTGAAGAAATTAATTGATAAATTTTTGGAATATAAAATTCTTTAGGAATGTGAATCTCAATATAACACTCCCATTTTACCAGTCAGAAAACACTGGGGTGAATGTAGGCTAGTGCAGGATTTGAGAGCAGTGAATCAGATCGTTAAGGACATTTATCCTGTAGTAGCAAATCCTTACACGTTGTTGAAAACATTAAAGGAGACTCATCAGTGGTTTACAGTGCTTGATTTGAAAGATATTTTCTTTTGTATACCACTAGAGAAGGAAATCAGAAAATCGTTTGCTTTTGAGTGGGAAAATCCACAAACTGGGTGAAATATGTAGCTGACATGGACAAGCCTCCCCCAAGGATTTAAAAATAGCCTGACAATTTTGGACATCAGCTGGTGAAGGAGCTTGAAATATGGAACCAGGATAGGCTGAAACCTGGACGTTTACAGTAAGTGGATACCAATTCCTGCAGAAGACAGATTTACCTATATACAGGTAACAACTGACCTCTTGAATTTTCTGGGACGGAATGGGGACAAGGTATCCAGGAAGAAAGCCCAAATAGCATGTCAGACTGTGATATATTTGGGCTTTGAGATTTCAAAAGGACAATGGCAATGAGGAACAGACTGTAAAGAAGCTATCTGTGGCATCCCCAAGCTGAAAAATGTTCATGAACTGAGAGCCTTTTTAGGAATGACTGGGTGGTGTCGCCTTTGGATAATGAATTACAGTCTAATAGCTAAACTGCTATATGAGGCCCAAAAGAACTCTCCTTTTGTATGCAGCCCAACACAACAAAGGGCTTTTACAGAGTTAACACATGCTTTAACGTCTGCACCTGCCTACGGACTTCCAGATTTAACCAAAGTTATTCAGGGGTTTGTTCGTGAAAGACAACGCCTTGCACTAGGTGTGCTGACTCAGAGGATGTGAAGCTGGAAGTGACCAGTTGGGTATTTTTCCAAACAGTTGGACACAGTAAGTAAAGGATGGCCTAATTGCCTTCAAGCAGTTGCTGCAACAGTGATGCTTATTTATACAAGAAGGCCGGAAATTGACTTTGGGAAAAATAGCAGTGTATGTCCCACACATGGTAGTAACTGTTTTAGAACAAAAGGAAGGACATTATCATTCTGCTCAGAGATAGCCAAAGTACCAGGTGGTTTTGACTGAACATGATGATGTGATTTTAAAAACAACTAACCTGGTATATCCTGCAGTGTTTTTAAGTTCCACACAGGAAGAGGGACAGCTGGAGCATGACTGCTTAACTACCACTGAACATGTTTATTCCAGTCAAGAAGATTTGAAGGATATACTGCTAGAAAATCCTGACTGGGAACTGTACACAGATGGCAGTAGCTTCATGGAGCAAGGAGTCCAATACGCTGGACGTGCGCTAACAACAGATACCCCAGTTACAGAAGCAAGAGCATTGGCTAGTACTACATCAGCTCAGAAAGCAGAACTTAATGCTTTCATTTGAGCCCTAGAATTGAGTGAAAAGAAGAAATTAAATATTTGGACAGATTCAAAGTACGCTTTTGGCGCAGTACATGTTCACAGAGCTTTGTGGAATGAGAGGATTATTGTCCTCTCAGGGATCAAATATTAAGCATCAAAATGAAATTATACAATTATTGAGAGCAATTCAAAAACCAGGTCATGTAGCAATCAGTCATGCACTGTAAAACACATCAGATTGGAAATACAAAGGAAATTGCTGGAAATAATTTGGCTGACAGAATGGCAAGAAAAATAGTAAACGAACAACCATTACAGAGGGCATTAATTCCAACTAAACCAGTAACCCTTCCCAGGGAAAAAACCTAAATAGTCAGAGGAGGATGACAAATTTGGAAAATTGCTGAATGCTAAGAAAAATGTAGCTGGATGGTGGGTAACCCCTAAGAGACAAGTGGTGATTCCATCTCTTTTAACGAGAAAAATAATTCAGATAAAACACCAAGAATGTCACTGGGGTGTGGAAGCCTTAGTAACTCATTTACAAAGGCAAGTAGTATCGGTTAAGATGTTAACTGCAAAATGTGAAGTATGTTTGAAAAATAATCCAGAGACCAAGAAAAGGGTCCAAATGAGCAGACTAAAATCTGGAACAGAACCTGAAGATTATTGGCAGGTAGATTTTTCAGAGCTACCTAGACAAAATGGGTACCAATACATTCTGGTGGGGGTTGATACCTTTACAGTATGGCCAGAAGCTTTTCCCTGTTGTTTCACACAAGCAAAGGCAGTAGTAAAGCAGTTACTACAGGAAATAATTCTGAGATTTGGAGGCCCTATTGGAATTTCCTGACAGAGGTCCACACTTTGTTGCTGAAGTAATACAAAGTGTTTGCAACATTTAAGGAATCACTTGGGACTCACACACCCTATGGAGGCCACAATCCAGTGGAGAAGTGGAAAGAATGAATCACTCTAAAAAGACAAATTAGCAAAATCTATCAGGAAACTAATTTAAAGTGGCTTCAAGCACTTCCATTGGCATTATTGCGAATTAGAGTACAAGCAAAGACTGGTACCTCAGTCAGTCCTTATGAATTATATGGGAAATCATACGAGTCCCTAGAACCAAATCCAAATATGCATGTGAAAAGGAAACAAGATGTGTATAAATATTTACCTTCCTCAGAGAAAGCCATGACTGTGATTCAAAGCGCAGTAGTGTGGAAGAGAATCCTATCTTTGGGGAATCCAGTGCATGACTTTCAACCAGGAGATTATGTCTGTGTGAAGATGTGTACTTCCAAACCTCTGCAAAAACGCTGGAAGGGACCTTTCCAGATACTGTTAATCACCTTTACAGCTATCCAGATTGCAGAATGAGATGCTTGGATACATTATATGCAGGTGAAGAAGGCACCTATTCCATGGAAGATTATTAACAGAGATCCAGAGACATTAAAATTGACTCTGAAACAGGTCTAATATCTCATACCAGTTTGTGATAGTTGTTCTTATATTAGCTTGGAAGCTAGTGCTGGTGGGATCATGGGTTGATTTGTTGTTTAGGAACAGAAGACAAATAGAAACATAGCAGCTGATCAGCATCCCTAAAGAAATACCCAGAGAAAATCTGACGTTATGATTGATTAAGGGATTTGCCAATTTGCAGGATGTCCCATGGATTACTGCTTGTTTACCAATACCAAGAGCAGTAGGTGAATTTGTTCCATGGGGAATCTTAACCATGAATTTGACCAACCTGGAACATAAAACCAAGGCTTACTGCAAACAGAAACCTGCTGTTGAGTGGTATGAACAAGTAAAGGTTATCAAAAAACAGTGGAAGATGCCAGGCAAAGAAACAGATTGTAAAAAACTATTGAACTATGATTTTATAACAGGATCCCGACATGGTGCCATAGCTTGATTCTTCTTCCTGGGAGTCCAAATCCCCAGGTAGAATGGTGTTCCTATGATGAACAGGTCAAAAACAATGTGAGCAGAAGCATCATGGAATGGCAGTGTAACAAAACCGGTCAAGTTACACAAAAGGATGAACAGCAGGGCTCTGTATGGTCCATGTCCATATTCTCTCCGTTTCAGTACATGGCTAGAACTCCTTGGTGTTTCACTTGGGATGGAAAAGTGTTTGCAGTCCTACCCTCAGTAGACGATAAAGGAACTTCACTGAGAGAGAAAGAGGAAAAAATATTCACACCAGCATGAATGCAAGAAACAGCTATTCTGTATGTGGAGACAGGCACAGCTACAACTGGAGTGGTTTCAAGGGGTATACTGAAGACATAGAAGATTTACATTTATTCAGTCACTCTAATTGTTTCACTTTGAATTATGCATTAATTTCCCAGTCATCTTGCTTTACTCACACAAAACACATTTGTGAACAGCATTTGCTTTTTCCACCCCAATACTTTTGGCAGCTTTACTGGATGAAGTCAATGATCCTAGAGTCCTAACCAAGCTCGCAAATCCAAAGATTTTCTGGACAGCACAGTGACAGGCAGTCATAAAAATAACTGACCCACAGTGACGACAGGAATCTATTTTGTCAGATCTTGGCTTATGCAACTTCCACAGTAAAATGTCAAAAGTTTAACATAAACTCAGTAGGCGAAAGGTAGAAAATGCAGACACGTTTTTCTCACAGTGGTTCAACAAACAATTTCTCAGTTTTGTTTCTGCTACCCAGATTGTGAAGCCAGCAGGAAATTGTGAAGGCAGAAGGTCAAAAGATGGCTACACCAATCCATAGGAAAAGAGGGCTGGGCTGGTCAGTTTTATCGGTCATGACAGTGTACTCTGTCCATTAGAACATCGGTACCCAGCTCAATCTTCCCGCTTACTTCTTGCAAATACTGATCACCCACCCTCCCCAACAGCTCTTGACTCCTTCCATCTACCACCCCTCGCACCAAAACTGTTTACAGACCCAGACATCTTCAAAATTAAAACATAAAGGGGATAAACTTTTACCTGCTGAAATTCAGGAGGTTTTCGTTTTCTCAGTGGGTGTATTACAAGCTGGCTCATCTTCAAAGGCAGATGGCGCCTCCTTGTGGCTGTCAATCACATCTCTTAAACTGTCTGAAAGACAAAACCAGTTTGTTAACTGTTGGAGAACGGCTTGCAGAGAGCAAGGCCATAGCTCCCTGCAGAAGTCGGTCCCAGCCACCTGAGGTAAACAAAGGAAAGAACCTAGGGTACAGTTATGTAAACAAGGATGAAGACCCAAGGCTCAGTTGTGCTAGCAAGGATTGTTGTGAGAACACAGAGATAAGTTGGGGCGCACTACGACCTTGGGGGGTGAAGGGAAGCAGCCCTGGGAGAGAAGCAGGTTTACAGCAAGAAAGATGTTTATGCATACCAGAGATGCCACAAGGGGCTGATATATTATAATGTGACTTTTTAGATGTACCCAATGGCTGAGATATTATAATGTAGTTTTCTTAAATGTATCCAATAGAGTTGCAAGTAGTGTATTGTAGACTGCTTATATAAGGTGTGATTTCTTTCAATAAAGTTGAAGCTTGCTCTATCATTCACATTGAATCGGCTGCTTGCTTCCTCCGCCCGCCGCAGTTAACCTTCCTGAATAGTCCAGAGCTTGCTCTCCCATTAACAGAGCTAGTTCTAAATCAGTCCTGGAAACCATTTGTATTGGAGGGCACGTGCTGAAAGCTGTTTTCTGAGGAGTTCCTTCTACCACAGATCTAAGGAGACTGCACGAGTCTCTACAAAGCTGTCCTATATCCCATGATTTGCATAAGCTATTATCCCTCTGTCGGTGAAAACCTGGAGGTCCTTTCCTTAGAATAAAGATGATTAGGAACAACTTCTGTAGCTCCTGGAGCAGGTTCCCCCACTGGACGTGGGGCAAGTGGATGCCACGTCTCAGACTAGGGAGTCAGACTACAGAGACCAACAAATCTGCTCAGTAAAGCTCCCTGAAGGTCAGCGAAAGAGGAGAGAAGGGAAAGGGGGCAGCAGGGAGGGGATGCAATTACCAGTCCCCGAGCCTCTCTGCTTTGATTTTGTTGATGGGGTTTTGTCTCTGTTTTACCAATGCAAATACATCTCCCAGCTCCCACCTCTACTGCGAGCAATGCTGGTGCAACATTCTCCAGGAATTAGCATCATAACTAACTAGTCACATATTTCCATTAATCAGGAGCAGAGCGACCTTATACATTTATTTGCTCACACCAACTGACAGACTAAATCTGATCAGGGTTGATGCAGTCACGAGCATGAGCTTACATACGCTGTGCAAGCAAAGCCCTGAAGCATCCACTCCTAAAACATTCTGATCTCATGTGCAAGTGTACAGTGGGATCCACAAACGTTTCAATCAGAGACTATGGTTAAAAGTCATGACGCCTAAACCACTATCTAGCTTAAACCACTTGTCTTGTGGTCCTGACATTCCTCCAACAGGAATAAGCAGCATTCAGGTAAAAATACCCCTGTCTCCCCATTTAAACATTGATTTTGAAAGAGGGGCCTCGTACATTAAACTTTAGATCCATCTCTACAAATTACAAAGACCATGTTAGCTACTGTCAGAAACAGGGTGATCTAGCGGAGAACGCACAGCGCTCCACTCCAAAGGGTGAGTTGCTCGCAGCTCCCAGGCAGCACTGTGCATGTGCGTATTACAACATTCTACTGTCATTACAGCCAAGAGGTTTGCCTGTGTTGATTGCACAGACCAGAACTTTTGCCCTGGCAGCATTGTAAAGAAGTTGATGTTCTTGCACCTTGCTGTTGGTTCTTCTTCAGTGCAGCCTCTGTGTGGGGAAATACTTTCTGCAAGGCTCACAGAAATTCTGCTAGTGTGTTTTCATGCAGTGGTTTGGAAATAGGGGGTAGCAGTCGCCCAGGTGAAGTCACAGCCCTCTGTGAAGCTGGAACAATCTTCTGCATAGCCATGACAAAATCCTCTGCTCTTATTTTAATAGAGGTGACATCTAACTGCAGCTTCTCACGACTTTCATATATGTGAGGACAGCAGCAGTGCAAAGCACAGAGGACAGTTTCGGCACATAAGGATTTAATGTCAGCACCGCAATATCCTAATAAATAAAACAAGAAGCAAATGTTAGGTCAGTCTCAGGCAACACAGAAGTCAAGGTGACGGTTTCTAAAGTGCAACACTAAGAGACTTTGTATACAGCCCAAAATTAACTGCTTAAGATAGAATGTAGTGACTGCACTGCTGAGGAGTTTTGTTACGTGGCTCACAGCTTGATATCCTGCACTTGTGAAGCAGCCTCACAGTCAAAACTTTGCTCCCAAGAAAGATGCCCCAAACCCATTCTACGTTCTGATGGACAAAAAGAAAATCAAAAGCGAAGAAGCATCTGACTTTGCTCCCCAGATGTGCCAGCTGCCTCAACACCTCACTCTGCGGCATGGCACAGGAGCTGAGGTACCGCCTGGCACAAGCTCAGATTCCTTGGGACTCAGTCACACACAGTAACCCACTTAGGTTTCAAACTCACCAACATATTTTTCAGCTAGCTCTTCAAGACACATGTCTGATGGCTTAGGGTCCCAGCCTTGCGTGTGAATCTTTAAAATCTCCTTTCTGGACTGGAAACAGATTAGTTACATTTCAGTTTGTCCTAAGTTTTCTCTTAAGAATACCTCAAAAACACAAAACAAAACCACAAAGACCCTCACAATAATATAAACAACACTCTTCTCCACTAAACTCTTAAGAATTTGAAAGCTCAGTTAATATGCTCTCAGCTTTTTCAAGCAGGACATTTAATCATTCTCAACTTGCTCCACTAAACTCTTCCTGGGGGTCTGCAGGGAAATCAAATGTGTTTAGAGCTTCCATAAAAAGCAAGTTTCCACAAGTATGAGACCTACGGATCCTGAGGAAGAACCGGTAGTAAAAAAAAAAAAAACCCAAACCAAAACCAACTCCGCCCCCCAAAACCTCATTTGCAAACAAGAGACTTTTCACCAAAGAAAATTCTCTCAAATTTAGCAAAACTTCATGGTGACAATCTCATTAGTTCACCAAGTTTGCTTTTCTGCTGGTTCATTCAGGGAAAGAGTCCTAGCATGACCTTTCAAATTGCTACACTTGTAACAAGGAATAATAATTCTGACTCAAACTACTGTCACTGATCCAGAAAATGTCAGATGTTGCCCATCCTCATCACCAATGAGCAAGACTTTCACTGAAGTGTTTCCTGGTACACAGGTTAATTGTGGCAGATTTCTACGTTTCTTCCACAGTAGGGAATAACATATTTGATCTGTTCCATGGCACCCACTCTCCTGTTGCTGAAACCAAGAAGCGAGAGCAAGAATGCTTCAGGCTGTGAAAGTGCCTAAGTGGATTAATCAAGTAAGCCAGCATGAACCGCTTCGGGAATAAAACATTTTCATTCACTCCCGCACCGTGATAAACGTTTTTGTTATCAAAAAGGGAATGCTTGTGTGCATTCTTTCAAAGATGAGAGAGCAGCAATTTATAACTAATGCATACATTCAATCTTTCTTAAACACTTCCTTGACTAGAAGCATCCCATTTTCTTGGCTGGTCACAGCGAAACCAAAAGTAATTCTACAACTTCACTGAAGTCATCTTCATCATAAACATTCAGGACCAGATCAGACCTCCAGAGCGCAAGACAGTCTCTCCAATATCCCTCTTTTGTCCACGTTGTACAATAGTGGTTCTGACTTTCACTGCTCCGTGATACTGCATCGTTACATGGTTTTGTTATAAAG